TTTGGTTTTTCTCCGGTACCGGGAACCGAACTCACGACCTTGCGCTTGCCAGGCAGGCGCTTTTGCCGCTGAGCTAAATCCCCAGCCCCCCAAGAACTGTTTAACATGAATTTGAAAGCGAAACTTCTAGTGTAGTTTTTGAATCTCTCCCTCAAAAACAGCAAAGAAAAACAAATGCCATAGTGAGGGCTTTCTCCCAGGTTTCTGCTCATGAGTGGCTCTACTTCCCCTGAAATACATGGCATGGATTCGCAAAGGACCCTGGTGAGCGCACACCCGCTCTCACACCTGGGCTTGGGGGCGGTTTTTCACACCTGCCTTCTCCAGCTCAGTGAGGCCGGGTCTGGGGGCCCCACTGTCACCGGCAGTCGCCCCGTAACACGCTTGTGCCCTGGGCTGCAGGCAGCCACAGGGCCCGGGGCAGTGCTTGCTGTGAATCGACTGGAGAAAGGTCTGACAGTACAGAGGGACATAAAACTTTGCTCCCACTTAAGGACACCCCAAAATGTGCCAGGGTGCTATTCACAGCAGAATGCTGCAGAGCCCTATCAAGTCCTGCATGTCGGCTCTCGTGCCGGTACACCTGTATTCCTGGGGCTGACCCGAGACACAAGGTCATTTCCTCGACAGCCCCGGATGGACTCTGGGCAGTCGGCGACATCTGGCAAGATCCACGCGTGTGAGTTTGGTAACTGGGTGCTTGCTGCCCGGACTTCCTGTGCCAGGTCTGCCGCACAGCCGCCGGGAGGCAAATCTGTCCGCGGCCCCACGGGCATCCTGAGCTTGACACGACAGAGGAAAATGTAAGAACCACAGCAGCCTCCAGCATCTGCACCTGCAAGGAGGCTCCAGGTAAACGTGGAAGTGCTGAGCAGAGGGTGCATAGGACTGACGTGGTTTGCATACAGCTGCAAGTTCTATGGCTAACACCAAAGGCAAAGGCCTTCCTGTATTTCCGTTCCTGTCATAACTTGTATTTACCCAGAACCCCACCACCTTCCAGCGCAGGAGGCCCCACCTCCTCCCGACACGGTCGGGCGTGGACCCCAGCGCCCTGCAGGTGGGTGCCGCGGGTAAAGCTGGCTCTGCCAGCCCTGCCGCACCACCGTCCATCGGATCACACTCTCCCTCCTTCCGGAAGAGCATCGCTCCCAGGCTGGAGCGCGGCCTGCGCGGGGGGCAGCAGGTGCTGCTGGGGGCACCTGGCGCAAACTGGGCTCATCGGCCCTCTTTGGGGGCTCATCGGCCCTTCCAAAGCCGAGACTGCTGGAAGAAACCGAGCAAGGCAGGTGGGCGCCGGGCAGCAGCCGGCACCCTGCTCTTCCTGGGCACGTCGCAGTCCCCGTCTATGGCTTCCTGAGGAAGGAGGTGGCCCTGCGGGCTACGTGCAGGGCTCCCCGGGCACCCCGTTCACGGCAGCGTCCCTGTCCCGCTGCCAGGGCAGCAGCTTCTTGTGCAGGATGCGCGTGAGGGTCTTGCTCTTCCTGCGCGCCCCCTCCGGCTGCTGCAGGAACAGCAGGTCGTTGTGCGACTGGCTCAGGCCCGGCTCCTTCTGCTGGTGCCGCCGGCGGAAGAACAGCTTGGCGCCTTTCCTGAGGATTCCGCCTGCAAGAGGGGCACAGCGCGGTCAGACGCGGCGGCGGGAGGAAGGGCCCGGGCCTCGCAGGCGGGGCGGACGCGGCGGAGAGCGGAGCAAGCGGGAAGCCAGCTCGCAGTGGGACCCTGCCGCAGGAGCAGAAAGCCCTTCCCACCGGCCAGGTGTCGGGGCCTCTGCCCCTTCCCTCCCGGAGCACGGCAGACCGTGCGCCCCAAGCCAAGTGAGGGGCCCTGAGAACAATGTGCTGGCTTTCTAGGGAAACGTAACAGTTGTTATTTTGGGACCGAGACTGGTTTTTTTTTATTAATTCCAGATCTTACTGTGTGTGTGTGCGCGTGTGCATGCACGCTAAAACATAGGAAATGTGCTCCTTGATCATTGTCAATCTGCAAAACCTCAATTTGGGGCTGGGGTATAGCTTGGCCAGAGTGCTTGCCCGGTATGCAAGAGACCCTGGGCTCAATGCCCACAATGAGAAAGGAAGGGAGGGAAGGAAGGATGGAGGAAGAGAGACAGACAGACAGAAGGAAAGGGGGACGGAAGGGGGAAGGAGAAAGACCCTGATTTTGTGTGGCTTGTCCTGTTGGTGTCGGAGATCACCTGGCAGAATATGGGACAGAAAAAAAGCAGCAGCAATGGCCGGGTGCTGCGGTGACACCTGTAATCCCAGTGTGCAAGAGGCTGGCCTTGAACTCACTGTGTAGCCCAGGCTGGACTTCCAGCGATCTTCCTGCCTCAGCCTCCCAAGTGCTGGGATTACAGGTGTGAGCCACCATGCCAGCCTGAACTACATGAAGGGACGTTGTACTCCCCCCCCCCCCCCCCGCAAATCAACCACAATGGTTCCTTCAAGATTAGGGCCGAGCTGTGGTACTTGGTTCTCTACAAATTAGCCCAGCATCCTAGCACACCCTAGTTCCCAAGGTCAGGGCGGCTTTGGAGCAGGCCTGTAAAATCCGTCACCCAAGGGCGGGGTGTTACTGACTCCGGGGCAGACGGGCCTGCCGGGGACTGAGGAGATTGATCCCCTATCTGGTAGCTCATTCTTTCTGTGACAGGCGTTCGACACGCACGCTGCAGGCACCAGGCTGCGCTGCTAAGGAAGGGGTAGGAAGCGCCTGCAAACAATGCGTGTCGGGCAGCGTAACCAACCCTACAGGCAAGAGTGACTGAGGATGCCACTGCAGGACTTGACTTTAGGGGCGAATGTCCTTGTCCCTCTGGCAGATGTGGAGAAGCCACAGGGCTCCAAGAAACAGGATGAATTTAATCTGGTCAAAGCCGACAGAGGTGCAGGCCTGTAATCCTCGCGTGCAGGAGGCTGAGGCAGGAGGATCACCGTGAGATCAAGGCCAGCCTCGGCTACATAGTGAGTTCAAGGCCAGCTTTGGGGAAGCCAGAAAGAGTGAAAAGGGAGAGTATAGATGTGGAAATGACTCGGGTCCCACCAGCAGGTCTGGTGGGTGCCATCAAGGGACATAAACCTTACTTCCTGAGCTCGTTTATGTCCCTGAAAGGCAGCTGATCAGGAAAGATCACCGGCTGCTGAGGAAGGCCGAGCGCCCTCTCTAGCGGCAGGGCTGGTGGGGTGCACAGCGGGGCCCCCGTGGCTGATCCCCGTGTGTCACACGATCCATGGGACACAGGGATGGGAGTCCCAGGCACAGGAGCCCCCAGCTTGGAGGAGGCCCTAAGGCTGACAGGGGACCGGGGTTGGGGTCGAGGCAGGCCTGGGGTTCTGACCCGGGCTTGGCTCAGTGGTCCCTTCGAGCTTAAGACACGGGCTCCCCCACCTGCAGCGGAAGAGGGGAGGAGAGCCCCACGCTCCCCTGGGGAAACGGAGGCCCCAGGGGGACAGAGCGGCCTGGCGCAGGCCCAGCCCTGCCTCAGGATCCCAACAGGAGTCCGCCCCTGCATCCTGGCACAGAACCTCTGTCAGGGCTGAGCAGGGGCCGGGCTGGGGCCTACCTGTGCCCAGAGGGCACGTAGAGCTCCTGACCCCAGGCCTCAGCAAGTGACGTATTTGGAGCTGTCTTCAGGGAGGCAATCTCGTTAGGAGAGCTCGGGGGTGGCCTCACCCAGAAGACACTGTCCTTAAAAAGGGGACTGGGTCAGACAGACACGCTGAGGGGACCGGGCGGGAGGGCCCCGTGAGGACGGAGAGGAGACCAGGGCCTCGAGCCTACAAGGCAGAGACAGCCAGGCCCTGTCAGCCCCTCCCAGTGGCTCACCCTGCAGACACCCGAGCAGACCCAGGGCTCCAGAGGCGAGAAACAGCGAGTGAGGCGCTGCTTTGCTTTGCTTTGCTTTACGCATCACCGGGGATTGAACCTAGAGCCTTCACACTGAGCTACCTTCCCAGCTCCCTTTTTAAGAAATTCTATTCTGAAACAGAGTCTCATGAAATTGCTAAGTTGCAACTCTCCTGCCTCAGCCTCAAGAGTGGAGATTACAGGTGTGCACCCCTGAGCCTGGGTTGAATCTCTGTCGTTTAAAGCATTTGGTTCCTGGTGCTGTGTGACGGTCCTGGGAGACCTGCAGCCAGGCCAGGGAAGGGAGCAAGTGGTGAGCGTGACCTGTGCCGGCCTCCAGGGGGACCCATGTCCTGCGGCACCCAGGCCAGCTGACCGAGTTCCAGATGCGCTGCCCTGTGCCCTCCAGGGCGCATCTGTGCTGGGCGAGGTAGGGCCGACGGAGGACAGTGGTGTGTGGTGCGGAGTCGCCTCATGGGCCCTGGGGGGGCGCCAGGTGGGATGGGCGGCAGCACCTGTGGCCTTATCTCGGGCGTGGAGGGATGGGGGACAAGGGCCCAGCGGTGCGCATGCCCCTGGGTGCACAGCCCAGCCCCCAACCAGGAGCAGTAGGAGTAACTACAGAGGAGTGTCTCTCTCCCAAGTAACTTCCTTTCCGCGGTGCGGAGGACCGGGCCTTCCTCACACTCACTGGCTGAGCAGTGCCACTGGGCGAGACTGGTGCTGCCGGCCTCCACCTGGCCCCGCGCCTCCACCCCGATAGCACAGAGGTTCACTCCCATGGGGCATCGGCAGCAGAGGCCACGGTCACTGTCTGACGCCTGGCGCTGCATCGGGCAGGAGCGAGAGTGAGACCCACCCCAGCCTCAGCTGCCAGGGTCCCTTAAAACGCAATTTGGACCCAAGCACGGTGGGGTGCACCTGTATCCCAGCACTCAGGAGGCTGAGACAGGAGGAGCCTCATGAGTTCAAAGCCAGCCTCAGCTGCATAGCGAGACCCTGTCTCAGAAAAGCAAAACAAAAAACCCAAAACGAAACAAAACAGAACAAAAAAGATGCACTCTGGATCACTGTCGGCTGGGAAGCGGGGCAGGGATGGAAGGAGGTTGGGTCCCAGGCACCCCACAGACAGAAGGGCTGAGTCCTAGCACTACAGGGGTGACTGGAGCGTGCAGTCATTCGTTCTGGGTCCCAGGGAGCAGGAGAGAGGTGCTGGGCATGGTGAGGGGCGGAGACCCTGACTCCCTGGGTTTGACCCTCAAGTACTGGCCACACTGCACCCCAGCAAGGCACACAGTCGTCACGCGGGAGATGAACACCGAACTTGCTAAGGGGCCCGTTACACACTGTGGGTATAACGTGTGGGCACCACGCACATCGGCACCACTAGAATAACTGACAAGTGAGATAAACGTTCAGAGAGTGGGTGCATGAAATTCCAGGCGAGCGATCCAGATTTTTAAACAGGAGGAAAGGAGAAGAAAAACACCTTTCCCTGATTTTTTTTTTTTTTTTTTTTGAGACGGGGTCATCTCACTTGGTAGCCTACGCTGGCCTTGAACTCTCGGCAACGCTTCTGCCTCAGCTTCCTGAGGCAGTACAACACCGGGTGCACAACACCATTCCCGGCCCTTTCCCTAATTCTATAAAAGAAGAAAAAATCACAAGAAGGCTGAAGTCTAAACAAATACATGAAGGAATTAAAGAATAATAATTCTACATTACAGTCCGAATGTTAAATGTACTTCCAAGTCGATTCTCACTTGTGTCTATACTGTCTAATCATCGGACATAATGGAAGGATCCACCCTAAAATCCCATGGGCGGGGCAGGGTGCTGCATGCCTGTGATCCCAGCACTCAGGAGGCTGAGCCAGGAGAATCACTGTGAGTTCAAGGCCAGCCTGGGCTACACAGTGAGACCCTGTGTTGAAAAAAAAACCCTGTGAAGAAAAAAAAAGCAAAACAAAATCTCGGTAGGAACACCGCCCAGAGGCAACCTGAAAACTGTAGCTCGCTGCTCTGCAGACAGCAAGGCTGCTCGTCCCCTGGGCAGCAGGGCAGCTCCCTCTCTGGCGGTGGGGAAGGTGCCGGCTGACCGTAGCAGGTCTGGGAGTGCGGGGAGCGGCAGGGCTGGGGAGGGAGGCAAGGCCGGGCAGAGGGGCGGGCGGCGGACAAAGGTCTGGCTAGGAGCCGCTTCCTACAGTGTGGCGAGGAGGAGGAGACGGAAGGCAGAAGTAACTTACTGCGCAGGAATTAACTCAGGTCAGCAGAGCGATCCTCTAGGTTAAAGGGAACGGCGCGGATGTGAGAGCAAAACCAGAATGAAAGACAGTGAGAGCCGGGAAGCGTTTACATCGCACGCATGCACGCACACAGGCATGTGCACGCACACATACACGCACGCGCGCTCAGAGTCGCCGTGCAGGACACTGGCAAGGTTCTTTCCTTTCCAGTCCCCCCCAAACCTCTCAGTGCTCTTGATGTAAAACACACCTGCTGGGTGTGGGGGTGCACACCATTAACCCAGTCTTAGGGAGGCTGAGGCAGGAGGATCGCTGAGAGTTCAAGGCCAGCCTGAACCACACAGTGAGACCCTGTCTCACACCTAAAACTGATCATGTGTCCACCTGCGCGCACACAGCGCAGGGCGCTAGGTCTCTTCACACTGCTGGGTCAGTCTATCGATGCTTGTTAAAAAGTTAACCGCGGTTTGGGAATAGAGCTCCTGTACTGGGTCTCACAATAAGTGAACTTCCAGGAAAATGCCAAACACGCGGGCGTCCTCTGACTCCTTACTAAAGACGCAGGCAGTTTGGAAATCAGAAAAGGTAAGTTTCACGCAGAGTGCGGCCTTTACAGAGCCGGTCCCAGTATGACCTTTTTAAAAATTTCTGTGCAAAATAAAAACTACTTGGTATACAACACGGACACCTCAGAAAGGGTAAGTACAAAGCTCTTAAAAAAATTATAATAAAAAAATTTTTTTAGACAGGGTCTTGCTCTGCAGTTTAAGCTGGTGTTGAATTCACTATGTAGCCCAGGCTGGCCTTGAACCACGGCAATCCTCCTGCCTCAGCCTCCTCAGTGCTGGGATTACAGATATGCACCAGGACGCCTGGCTGGGAATGAAAACATGTTTAAAAACAAGGCCAAACACCTCCTTTTGAAGCACTGTGGGTCTACACAGCAGCACCCCAGGGGTGACAGCGTCCAGGGAGCTGGGAACAGGTGCCAGCGCCACCGGCACCCCATGAGCTGCCTGGGCACTCCGAGCCCATGGGGCACCATCCACTGGCCTGTGATGAGAGGGACAAGGATGGGGGCAGGACAGGGAGGGGCGGCCAAGAAGTGAGCCGCCAGCCTAGACGGGAAGGCCCGAGCGGGCATCCTCTGCGGGGCTCCCCACGCCGGGCTTCTGGGTGCCTGCACAGGGGCCAGCCACCAGGGGGCGCCAGGAGCAAGGTCACTGGAGGGAAACCTGAGGAAAGTCCCTCAGAGGCTGGAGGTGGGCAAGCGGGAGGGGCCGAACCTTTTCAGGAAATTTCCGCCTCCCTCCCCGCTCTCCTCCTGTTTCTTTCTTTTTTTTTGGTTTCTCTTCGGTACCGGGAACAGAACTCACCACCTTGCGCATGCCAGGCAGGTGCTTTTTGCCGCTGAGCTAAATCCCCAGCCCCCTCTCCTCCTGTTTCTTTTAACCCTCCCTGTCCCTGTGCCGTTGGCACTGGTAGGGCTTGGGTCACGGGACAGCAGCAGGGGAAGCAGCAAAACCAATGTGGGAAGCCTGCCATGGGGGTGCATGCCTGTAACCCCAGCAATCAGGAGGCTGAGGCAGGAGGATCGCTGTGAGTTCAAGGCCAGCCTGCACTACAAAGCAAGACCCTGTCTCAAAAAACAAGAAACAAACCAACAAAAAGAGGCGAGGCCGGGCCCACGGCAGACTGGACTTTCAGGGCAGGTTCTCGCCTCGGTAGAAGCAGACCAGCTCGGCCGTGGGCCGCTCCGTGGGGCTCAGTGTGGCTGCCCGGAGCCCTGCAGGGCACTTAGCGGCACTGCTGCCCTCCCCACGCGGCGGCCAGCAGCTGTGACCCAGATTGTGTCCAGCATAGGACGTGGGGTCGGAGACGCCAGGTGTCACCGCCTTGGGCCTCGGTCCCGCTGGGGGTCTCCGCGTACGGAGGGGGAAACCAACGCTCGGGCCTGTCGGGGTCCGGCTGTGCCCGCCTCAGGAAGCATGATCAGGGCGGGGCGCGGGGGCTTGGCGGTGACCAGCGACCCCAGGACTCCGCCCCTCCCCGGGGCTGCGGGGCTGCCAGGTCCCGGCCCAAGGTCCGGCAGGACACGAGGCCTGGCTGCCTGGGAAGCGGAGGGGCCTGGCTCTGTCCAGGAGACCCAGCTCTGGGGGTCTCCGTGGGGCTCAGTGTGGCTGCCCGGAGCCCTGCAGGGCACTTAGCGGCAGCCGGTCATCCTGGTGACCAGGCCAGGCGGAGCACAGGACAGGAGAGGGAGGGTCCCGGGACTCCCTGCAGGCCGGCGGCAGCGGCTGGGGCCCGAGGGGGCGGGTGGGGCGGGCAGCTTTACCTCTCCGCTTCTTGGAGGCGCCCAGCTCCCAGGCGCTCAGGGAGCTCTCGGACAGCTCGTCCCCGTCCCCATCCGGCTCCAGCAGGCCCGGCCCGCTCCACGCGGCCACCTCCTCCTTCTCCACGTCCCAGGGGTCCAGCTCGGGCTCTGGGGGCGCAGGGGCGGCGGGCACCAGGGCGGGCTCGTCCTCGGCAGGCGGGGCAGAGGGTTCAGCTGCCTCTAGGGTGGCCAGGGCGGTGGCCAGGGCGGTGGCCGGGGCGGCCTCCTGGGGGGCGCTGTCCATGGAGGCCGCATAGTCCAGCATGAGGGCAGCCTCCTGGTCCTGAGAGAGGGAGGTCTGTGGGGAGAGGACTGTGAGCGGCTGGGAGGACAGGTGGACAAGGAGCAGGGTGGAAATGCCAGGCAATCACTCCCAAGACACAATGCAGGCTTTGTTTGGTATTTTGAGAGAGTCTCGCTGTGTAGTCCAGGCTAGCCTCGAATTCTCAGCAGTCCTCCTGCCTCAGCCTCCTGAGTGCTGGAATTACAGGCGTGTGCCACCGCCCACTCCACCCTGGAGATTTTACAGTGTCGGCAGGTGCAGCTGGCCACCTGTGAAGGCTTTTAGGTCACAGCTGCTTGTGACAGAGGGCCCTGGGACACCTGGCCGGGAGGGTCCCGTGCGCATGGTCGAGGTGTGTGGAAGTGGTGCGTGTCTTCCCCAGGAACAGCGTCCCTGCTGGGAGCTGCAGAGGCCAGGCACTAGCTCTTCCTTCCAGAAGAGGTGAACTTGCTCAGGTTTAGCTTCTCCTACTCTTTGTTCCTATGGCACTTTTATGATACTTCCAAGTCCGAATTCATTGGTAGCTACTTTGTATCCTTTTAAGAATTCTCTAACCCAGCCCTGGTGGCGCACACCTGTCAGCCCAGCCCTGGGAAGGCTGAGGCAGGAGGACCACTGAGAGGTTGAGGCCATCTTGCACTCTGGAGCCCCTCAAGAAGAGATACCACCAGACTGGGGGGCCACGTCACCTGGGAGCGGGCACTGGGAGCCACCCACACTCTGGCACTTTGGCAGTTTTGGGGACCGACCTCAGCACGCCAGCCCCTCCTGGCCCCACCCTCTCTGTGACCCTGCAGGAGCGCCCCCCAGAACTCATCCAAAGCAGACCCCCCGGAATCCCCACTGGAACCCCGCCCGCAGCCCACCACTATGCGCTCCCCCGCGTCCAGGAGGGTGAGGGGCTGGGGTGGGGGCTGGGACACCCACAGCACCATTTCTCCATGATAACAGGATGAATCCTGGCCGCAGAGGTGTGAATGCTTTGTGGGTGAGTCACATGCAAAGAGCGGAAGTTCCCCAGAAATGGGCGGCCACACAGGCAGAGGCGTCTATCACCTATTTGCCTTCTGTAATTTTCCTGAAATGTCCCCGCAAGCTGCCGACCTGCAGAGCAGCCCCCGCGGATACCTGCAAGCTGCCAGGAAGGTGAGGAACCCACGCAGCCTGACATCCGCACACTGCTGTCTCCGCGGGGAGGAGCCTGTCCCCGACAGCGCCCCATCCGCGTACCTTGGAGACCCCTGAGATGATGAGCGTACTCTTCTTCCGGGGCGACTTGAGCTTCAGCTTTGAGGACTCGCTGAGCTGTCGAATGGCAACCTCGGCCACCGGGTCGGACCCGTTCAACACCAACAGTTCTGCAGGAGGGGAGGCAGCGCGGAGCTCATTAACAACAATGCAATGTTTCCCGGAGCTGAAAGTGGCGGCGATGCCTGCAATCCCAGCACATGGGCAGCTGAGGCAGGAGGATCTCCAGGTCATGGCCAGCCTGGGCTACATGGCAAGTTCAGGGCCAGAACGGGCTGTACATGGAGATCCTGCCTTGAACCCCTCCTCCCACAAAAAGGAGGAGGGTTGATGCCCGGCAGGTCCACAGCAAAGCCTCGGGGTCTCTGGCTCGGGCACACGGCAGCTTACGCTATTCTACTAAACGTGACAAAGCTTTCCAAGCAGAGGTAAGGAGGGTCAGAAGCAACAAGGACAGAAGCCAGGGGACTGGGTGTGTGAGGGGGCTGGAGCTCGGAAGAAGCAGCAGCCCTCAGACATCCTCAGAGTTGCCAAGCTCAGGAACTCTCCACCTCTCCACGCTGAGCCCCTCCCCTCCCAGCTCCTCACCCTGGCAGTGAGGGGTCTTTAAGGTTCGAGGTCCAGAGGTTTGGCCTGCATTTTTCTTGGAGGCCATAAATCCATAAACTGCAGACTCCCACCCCCAAAGAACACCACGATCACCCATCAGCCGGCTACGGAGTCTGGGCCGCTCGGGCACACACGGTTTGCATTTCAACTGCTGAGTAAGTCTGTTTTGGCTTTAGCCACTAACACGGGCAACCTGGCCATCAGGAAGTGGGCACTAGGTAAATGACACACAATGCAAAAGTAAGCACCCTGGATCGTCCTTCGGAGGGGACCCCAGAACCACGCAGCCCCCCAAGCCCAGCCCTCAGTGTGCACCACCCCCAGCACCGGCACTCTTTCGCTCCGACTGTGCGCTTTGGCCCTGCCTCACGGATCTGCTTGGGCACTCACAGATAGCGCCTTTTTTGTTGTTTGTTCTTTGTTTTTTTGAGACAGGGTCTCACTATGTAGTTCTGACTGGCCTTGAACTCACTATGCAGCCCAAGCTGGACCTCAAATTCATGGAGATCCTCCTGCCTCGGCCTCCCAAGTGCTTCCATTAAAGGCAGGCGCCGTCACACCTGGCTCTACCTAGTGTGAAAAGCAAAACTCCTCCCAAACTCAGAACAGGAGCTCCACTTCCCGGCAAGTGAGAGGGCTCCGGGAAGCGCTCTCCTGCGTGGCGAGGGCAGAGGAAGCGCTCTCCTACCTGTGTCTGAAGAGGACAGTGTTTTGCTGACAGGCGCACTGTGGCACGCGATGGCCTGCACGGAGATGTCCTTCTCGATTACCTTCACCTTGACGGGCGTCCTCACGGGGGACTCTGCCGGGGACAGACCCAGTTACCGTGGGCGCCAGCGCTGCCCCAGGTTCCGGAAACGGAGGGCCTGGCACTGGCGGGGCCTGGCTGCCCATTTGGGGGTGTTGGTTTGGTGTTCGAGGCAGGGTCTCACTATGCAGCCAGGCTGGCCTGGGACCCTTGGCGGTCTTTTTGCCTCGGCCTCCCAAGTGTCGGGATCGCAGGCGTGCGTCACCACGCCTTCTCCCAGGTGACTTTCACCCCGGAAAGTCTGCACCGGCTGCCTGGTGTCCCGGGGAAGCAGAGCAGCTAATTAACGCAGGCGAAAGTGCTCGCTCCCCCCACGTTAGCTCCGGATACACCGCCGGGCCCAGCCAGCCTCCCTTCCCAGGTCTCTGGGGCAGATAAGAAAGGCAGCTCGCTCTGCCCAGGTCCCTCCCTGAGCCCAGCACAGCCCAGCAGCTCACCTGCGCCCCTGCCCGCGTCGAAGCGTGGCTTGGTCTTCACGGCGGTGATGGTGGTGACCACGGTACCGCAGGGCAGCACGGTGCGGTCCTTCTCCACCTTCGCGGCGGGAGCAGGTGGGGGCGCTGGCGGGGCTCTGGCCTCTCCCGGCTCCATGTAAGAGAACTGTGGGGTGGCGGTCACCAGTTTTGCAATACAGTCGCCCCTGGCGTCCCGGTCCCTCGGTTCCAGGACCCCCTCCCCCAGGGCAGCAAAGTTCTCAGAAATGGGGCGCTGTCTGCACACAACCCGCTCGGCCCCCTTTATGGCCTTCCTCGTGCGTGTAGGGACTGGGCGCGTGCTAGGCGGGCGCACTCGTGTGCAGATCGCTGAGTTCAGCTCCAACGCTTTTTCTTTAGAGACATAAATTGCCCAAGTTGGCCTTCAACTTGCAACCCTCCTGTCTCAGCCTCCAAGAAGCTGCGATTCCTGGGGTGCACAAATCTGCCTGGCCCCTCCTATAGACCTAAGATCACCGCTAGCTTACGGATCACACCTAACACAATGAAATGCTACATGGACAGTTGTGATGCTGTGCGGTTTGGGGACCAATAATGAGAAAAACGTCTGCATGTCCCGCACAGACGCGTTTCCTGGGGGAGGAGTCTCGGTGCCGCGCATGCGCATCCATCCTTTCTGCCCTCTGCGTCTCTTTAACTTTCCAGCGCACATGGATTTTCCAGCGGCCACAGAATCTCGCGGGGCCAAAACGCGCCCAGCTCAAAGTGTGGCCTTGGGCATCGCGCCGGAGATCAAGGGAGCATTCCCAGGCCTCGGGGCTGGGCCAGGGGCTTGGGCAGCGGGGAGTATCGCAGCTCAGCCGCCTCAGGCCGCCACAGGCCTGGGGAATCCACGCCTGTCTCCAAGCGCAGGCCTGGAACAGCGCCCCCTGCCGGACGGCTGTGCACATCGCCCCAAGGCTGCAGAGCGGGCCACTAGGGAGGGTGGAGGGGATGCCACCGTACCTCCGCAGTGACCGAGCCCAGCACCGCGCTGCCCAGGCCCGGCCCGCTGGTCAGCGCGAAGCTCTGTGGTCCGGAGGGCTGCTTCCTAAACAAGTCCAGCGGGATGACCGCTACTGCCAGTGGACCTAGGGACAAGGAGCGCAGGCGTCACTGACAGGGCACAGGGTCCAGCACCCACCCTGCTGGGCAGGAAGGGACCCCTTGGGCCCTGAGAGTCATCAAAGACAAGGACAAGCTGTGGGGCAGGCCAAACAGCCGGGGCCCCGCACCAGGACAGCCAGAGGCCCCCTGGGGTGGGGTGGGGCCAGGAAGGACGCCCCCGCGTCCACTCAGGAAGCCGGATGTGACAGCAGGGCACTGGGACGTGAACTGTACTAAGGACGACAAAAAGGCCGTCCTGATGGGCATGGTCCCAGCACTCAGGAGGCTGAGGCAGGAGGATTGCTGCAAGTTTGAGGCCAGTCTGGGCTACACAGTGACTTTGAGTACAGCCTGGACTAAATAGTGAAACCTTGTCTCAAAAAAAAAAAAAAAAGATTGAAACTACTGATTCATTTCAGGCACACGCTCAAGTTCCTGTTCATCTCGACGGTGACCTTGAACTGTGGGGTCTAAGTCACACGCTCAGTGCAGCCACAGAAGTTCATTTCTAAGGCAGAGGCAGTTAAGAAAACAGGGGGCTGGGGCTGGGGCTGAGGCTGGGAAGAGGAGGCGCAGGGTCTCGAAGGGCCCGGGGCGGAGCTCCAACGTGGGAGCCCGAGTTAGGGCTGGAGAGGGAGGGAGGGAGGGGGTGGCCCCAGCCAGGGCGCTGAATGCCACTGAGCCCTGCACTCAGACTCTGCCAAGATGGCACATTTGTTTGTTATGCGCATTTTCCTGAAATTAAAAATCGAAAGACAAGGGAAGTCTGCTGAGGCTGCGAGCAACCAGAACTGCTCTCTGAGCAAGGACTGTGGAACGGAAGATCTTCGGAGATCACACAGTCAGATGAACTTGTCCCAGAGACGTGTGAGTTGCTCATCTCTAAGATGGATCGTGACCCAAGCGTCCTCCGCCGCGAGGTGTGGCTCGGGAGGGGGCCCCTGCGCTCAGCGCCCCCAGGCCCGCTCAGGGCGGGGTGAGCCCCCTGCACGCGCAGCCCCCACGGCTCCCCACCCACCTTCCGAGGGCTGCCCCTCCTCCGAGATCAGCAGGTGCAGCTCCCTGGACTTGGCGTTGAGCTCACTGTGGAGAGGGACAGAGCCGTGAGACCTTCACCATGCAAGGGCTACGGGTTCTTTCGAAATACACAGTGAATATGTACATTTTTAAAAATGTACAACAGTGAAAGACACACTGCCATGCATCACTCCTCCACAGTCCTCCCCCTCGCTTCCCACACACTCATCCCATCCTCCTGGCCACTTTCTGCAGCAGCTCCGGAGTCCTCTTTCCTGAGTGTCTTTTTGAGGTGTGATCAAAAATACAGTGACTGGTGCTGCTGAGTGCCGTCCGACAGAAAGGCAGCTCATGAAAACATGAGGCTGTGTCCTCATCCACCTTGTTCCCTGAACCTGGCACCGTGTGACTTCCAGCTCCACCCCACAGTCAAAACATTTTGAATGGATCCAGGACATCGGGCAGCCAGGACAGCGCAGCTAAAGACACTGAGGAAAGAGGACTCCAGAGCTGCTGCAGGACGTGGCCAGGACGGGGGGACGAGTGTGTGTGAAGTGAGGGGGTCTTGAGGGGACACATGGCAGTGTGTCCTTTACTGCAATACAATTTTTTAAGAATGTTCGACATTCACTGCGTTTCAAAGTCACACCTCGTACTGTCTTTCTTGATTATGCAGAGCAACGCGAAGCCGTGGACAGCGAAGACACTGCAGAGATATGTTACCAAAAACAAGGACAGACTGCCTGCGGCCTCGTCCTCTGAAGGCCACTGAACACTTGGGGAGGAGCCTTCCGGAGCTGATGGCAGAGCTCACGTGCTGTGGTGCTGTGGTGACAGACAGTGGCTGCCCCCGCACCACGACGTGGCCGGTGTGAACCGCAGGGCTGGGTCTCACTGTCACTTTCATTCACTTAAATCTAGAGGCTACCTACGGGTGGTAGTGACGCTGCTGAATAAACTGCTGCGTAATTATCCAAAGACAGACGTCAGCCTCAAATGCCTCCCTGGCCCTCTGGCTGTTTCTGTCCACTTGGAGGCCAGCGACCCCCACAGAGCAGCCTCATCTCCACGTGGGTCTAGCTTTTTGCTGCTCGGCCTTGTGAGATTTTATTTTGCCGGCTCTCGATAACCAGCCCTTAGGGATGGGCTGATTGTTTCCAGTATTTCCCAATTATGAGCCAGCTGAGGAAAACCTCCGGGCGCCCTGGCTCTGCCAGTCACGAGGCGCACGCACATCAGGCCACCCGCATCCACCCCTGGCGTCCGCGTCCCCTCACCGATTTCCAGACCGTGCCTCCTGTCAGCGGGCCGCGGCCACCTCTAGCTCCTGCTTTTGGAGATTATGCCCCGTTTTCTACGGCAGTATTCACAGTTTCATCAGCGTGCCCTAAAATTCACGTATGTGCCACATTTCCTTTCATCAGCTTTCATAACTGCATTGTCTCCGCATCAGAAAGGGGTCGACTTCTGTGTCAGCCACTTTGCTGAGTTGCTGTTTCTACTTGTTTTTATCACAGGACCTGTGTCCATCCTACATCCGCTGTGTTTCCAGAGGTTTGCACTGACTTCCTCGAGGAGTCCAGGTGTGCAACAAAATCACCTCCGAGAGACGGGGACGCTCAGCTGTGACCCCCAGCATTTGTTCCTCGTCTCTTTTCTTACGTAACCACAAGAGCACAAAGCAACGGGCTCGCTCGCTCTCTGTCCCGGGACTTCCTGTTCACGGTGAGTTCCAAAAACCTTATTTTACTAAGGCTAATGCGTCTTTAGATGCATCCATCCACTCTGTTTCCATTGCACTTGTAAAACATCAGGCATGGACACTGACTGTCCCCTGTAACCACAACCGCTTTCTTCTCTCCTTTGCTCTAGCACCACCGGGGGGCACACTAGGACAGCACCACGGCTCCCAGTGTGAACGCAGCGGCCGCCCTTAAGGTGCTGCTATACTTGACTATATGTTTGCTGGGCATGGTGGCTCAGGCCTGTAATCCCAGCACTCGGGAGGCTGAGGTAGGAGGATCGTTGCGAGTTCAAGACCAGCCTGGGCTACAAAGTAAGCTCAAGGGCAGCCTGAACTGCATAGGGAGACCTTGTCTCAAAAAGACAAAAAAAATTTTTTAAAAAGTGCTGCTAGGTTTTCTCCTCTGTGGTACTGACTGACGACTCCGACATCACTATTGTCAGTGCTCTCCACGTCCCCCTTTACTCTGTCAGACTTTGTGTCTGTCAGGAGTTTCCTTGGGGTGGCTGAGCATCTAAAGGGAGTGGGGAACCCTACTGCCTGCCACCCCCGTCACCACAGGGCAAGAGGAGGGGACGGACCCTAAGCTGCCCGAGAGAGAATCCCGTCTGACTCAAAACCGCCTCCAGCCGCCGGGACAGCTTGCTTGCACCTAATTTAATTTTCTGCTTAGGCAGCGTGGCACGGTGACAGGGATGTGGCGGTCCTGAGCAGACCCGGCTGGGGACACCCGCTGTGACCACCCGGGCGGTACTCACAAGGTGAACTCCTCCTCCCACGAGAGATCGGCCCTGCTCCTCAGCGGGGAGCTGGCGAAGCTCTGAGCCGGGTCATTCAGCTGTGTGACGCACACAGGGCCGGGGCCGCCTGCAATCACAAGGGGTCGCTGGGGACTGGTTTGTTTCCAACCGCGCCAGGGTGCTGCGTGTGTGAGAAAGGCCAGGCTAAAAGCCTGTTCTTTCTTCAGCCGCCACTGACAGCAGTGCTCCAGGTACCGACTTCCCGGGCTTCAGGAGCTTTCCCTGCCCGCTGGCAAGACCCCAAGCTCCCCTGCCCCATGTCAGACCCCGCCGCAGGCAGGATGCCCAGCTGGGGACCGTGCCCTGCATGTGACCCCACCGTGACACCCACGTCACTCACAGAGAGCCTCTCCCCAGGCCACAGGCGGGACCCTCACGCCTGGCGCGGCTCAGGCCCAGGCCCTTCGGGGTACTCAGTGGGCAGGGGCAGACGGCTCACAGCTGGCCGGGCGTCGAGACAACGCTGCCCCTGCCACACCGAGTCCTGGAAACCACCGGGATACTTTCCCGGCCACGTGGCCTGGACGCCCAGACGCTCAGACCCAGACGGGGTCACCCTGGCACAGGGCCAGAGCAGGGCCCGGCCTGGGCATCTCCCCACGGGCAGCCCACGCAGCCCCATGCAGTGCGGGCTCAGAGGGCGAACGCACGCGCTGTCACCGGAAGAATCGTCCACAGACGGCCCGAGAGAGGCCGCGGGGTTAAGGGGCCTGGGGGAAGTAGGACAGGAGGCCCCAGGTGTTCTCAGACACAGGAGAAGGACGCTTCCACGCGTCTGTCCTGTGGGGCCCGCGGCCCTGACACCCCGGCCCCTGTCCCCACTTGCGGGGTGCACAGTGTACACTGGTCTGGGCCGCTTCACAGTTAGGGACAGGAGAGAATTTAGAGAGAGGACGAGGACGAGCACGAGGAGGCTTCCCACTAACGAGGAGAAGGCGCACTCATCCCGTTCCTCCGCCCCTCGGCCTCCCCGCGCCAGGGGCCCAACCGCACACTCCCCGGTGGTGCTCACGGGGCACGCGTGACATTGCAGCAGGGTGCAGTGATCAGATCGGGGCGGTGTGACGTCGCCGCAGACACACCCACTCCTTTGCGCGGCACACGCAGAGGCCCCGTGGGGCTGCCTGGGGTACACACGGCCCGTCGGTCCGCGGCGCCCCAGCCGTTCCTGTCCCCGCCCCGGGCCCCGCCCCTCGCCAAGCCCCGCCCTCCGCAGGTCCCGCCCCACTGCGTGTTCCGGTGCGCAGCTTCCAGTGCTGGCAGGGTGGGATCCCCTGGACGCCCGCGCCCGGGCGCAGGACGGCCCCTCTCCAGGGCCGCAGCACCCACCTGAGGCCCCCGGAAGGCTGAGCAGCGAGGCCCGGATGTTCTTCACCTGCAGCCTCAGCTCGTGCGCCCGGGGCGGCTTGGGGGGGCAGCAGTCCTGAGCGGGTGGGGGGGCGCGAGGCAGACTCTGCGGGAGAGAAGAGTTGGCGGGGAGAGACTGAGGACCCGGAGGAAGGGGCACCGGCTCCAGCCTTGGCCCGAACAAGGCTCCCTTCTCCTGGAGGGCGGGGCACCAGGGAGCCACACCCCCAAACACAGGGCAGCGTGCTGTGGGGGGACAACAGGCTGGATCTCGGGCTGCGCTCTGACCCAGGACAGGTGCCCGAGGCAGCAAGGTCTCCTGCGTGGGCTGCAGATGCCCACTGCTGCCCTCCCTGGCTGGGCACCCACCTCCAGGAGGACCCCAGCATGCAATGAGGACACCCAAGTGTCACCTGGCACGCACAGCTGGGACCTGCCTCCTTTGGGTCCCTTCCCCAGGCAGCAGGGGGTTGCCGGCAGCAGGCGCCCCCAACTCCAGGCCAGGGCACCACAAGCCAGCCTGTGCCTTGCTCTCAGGGCCGCCCACTGGGGACCCGCGGGCCTCTCCCCGCCTGGCTGGAGCCTCACCCACATCTCCAGGGACGCCTGTATTCTCCATGGCTTGCTCTAGCAGACGCTGCTCTGCGCCAGGGGCTTTCCAGCCCGTGAGCCGAGGGTGGGGAGGCCAGGGAGGGACGGAGCCACCAGCGCCTCTCTGGCGCCCGGGCCTTGGGCTCGGACTGGAACCAGCTGTGTCAGAGCTCAAGGCCGTGCGAGCCAGCGCCTTCCGCTAACAAAACCTCCCAGTCATCACCACGGGCTCCGCGTCTCAGGCACCCCAGGGAGAGAACGCTGTAGACTTACTGCAGAGGTCACGGCCTTACGATGCGTTGGGCCCTTTGACTTTCTGGACCCGTGGATTTTAAACTACACTACTTGGTGAACCTTCTCGCATTCTGACATTCGAATTCATCCTCAGTGAGTTCTCTCGAATCCGCAAGGAGCCATGGGGACAGAAGGACTCAAGGGACGTTGTCCTGCCCAGGCCTCTCTGGGGCGGCAGAGCCTCGGATTCCTGCAGCCCCGCTGCTGGCTACACAGCCCCACCGCGACGCAGGGTGGCAGACACTTTGTGGGCCCTGTGCCCTGCAATGCCCAGCACTCAGCCCCTGGACTCCACGCAGAGCCCCCCCGGGTTACACCGAGTGTCTGCCACGCGGCATCTTTCCAGGAACCCCAGGGACTCCAAGCGGCCCTGTTACACATTATAACCACAACAGCAGCTTGGGATGGGGCAGACTACCATCGGCAAGGGCGTCTGTGCTGCTTATGCGGGCGGGGGCATCTTTTTGGCACCGGGGAGCTGTTTCCTGGAAGACAATTTTGCATGATCTGGGTGGAGGTGGTGCACCATGGCTGTTGTACGCTTTAATCCTCCTTATGACGTTAGATTCTCACGAGTGCACAAGTTGAACCCCGCGCATGCGCAGTGCCCGTGAGGGCCTGAGCTTCTGGGAGAACCGCGCGCCCCGCTGATCTGGCAGAAGGAGCCCTACACAGCCCTAGGCTGCATCGCCAGACCACAGCCAGGGACGCCGAGCAGCCGGCGTCCCTGCAGACACGCATCCAGCGCAGAGGCGCAGCGCTGGCCACACACACAGACAGAGGTGCAAGCTCCGCCCCCGGCTCAGACGCCCCCGGGCCACTGCTCACCTGAGCCTCCTGCTGGCCCGCCGGCCTGGTGCTCAGGACCACCGCTGGCGCAGCAGGGCCCACCAGGCGCTTCAGGAGGTCCCGGAGCACTTTGGACACGGACTCTCGCTCCACCGTCAGGTCCTGTGCGAGACAGAGGTCATCGGTCACTTGGTCACTTGGTCACCCACTCCTAGGCCACCTGACTACACCCCGAAGGCTCCCCCAGCTGCTGGCCTGAAAGGAAGCAAATCAGATGTTAGAGCTGTGCTGGCTCCCGTCCTGGGGACTCCGACCAGGATGGACAGGTCACACCCTGCCCCGAGCTGGGCACCTGCTGACTGCAGATGCCACGTACACCTCCCCGGGCAGGGCTGCGCACACCTGGAGTCCCAGCACCTGGGAGGCTGAGGCAGCCTCTGACACTGAGCTACTTAGTGAGACACTGTCAGTCTAGGGAAAAAGCAGCAGGAAAGGGGTGGGAGGCAGCTCCGTGTGAGGCCCTGGGCTCAGTCCCCAGTGCAGGGACAGGAGCCGTGCACACTTGTCACTAAAGATAAATGAAGGAGCATAAATAGTAAGTCCCCAGAGCAAAGGGACAATAATAATGAAGGTGAGGCAGTGTTAACGTCCCCATATTACCCGCTCGGCCTTTGTCCCCAAATTCCACGCATGTGCGTGTTCTTTCTCAGAGAAGCCGTGACTTCTGACCAGGAGACCGTGTGTAAGGACTGAGGAGAACCAGGACGAACACAGGCAGCTCGAGGAAAAAGTGCAGGGCCGGAGGAGCCGTGGCCCCGGCTGTCAGCATCCAGAGACCCAGAACGAGCCCCAACAGGACGCGGGCCTGTGTTCGAGGAGAGTACAGCGTCACTGAGGTCAGAAGGGCCTCACGCTGAGAACCGCCAAGATCCACAGGCAGAGACCTGTGTTGAAATCTGAATGCTCCCCCGCAGAAAAAGAAAAAAAAAGAAAAGAGAAGAAAGAAAAAAAACCAGGTACAATGGCACACGCCTGTCATCCCAGCACTCGGGAGGCTGAGACAGGAGGACTGCTGTGAGTTCAAGGCCAGCCAGGGCTACATAGTGAAACTCTGTCTAAAAAAAAAAATCCAAATCCAAGTGTGGGTGTCAGGAGGCGGGGCCTTGGGGTGCTTAGGTCGGAGGGCAGAACCTGCATGATGGAAAGGGACCCCGGAGAGCCCTGTCGCCCCCTGCGACCAGAAAGACTGCAGCCGGCCCAGACCTTGGTGACAGCCAAGGCCCTGTGTGCAGCACAGCCCCGCAGCTCGGACTCCAGACCCCGGAAACCGAGGCGATGGGCACACGCTGCTTCTGGCTGCTGAGTGTGTGCGCTCTGCAGCCCAGCCGACTCCCCAGAAGAGGGTCTGTCTGGGTGGGGCTAGGTGCTGCACAGAGGGACACAGGGTTTCCTGGGGGCGGGGCTGAGCTGGGGACTGGGGAATGCTACTGGGCAGGCTGAGGCAGGAGGATTCCAAGTGTGAGGCCAGTCCGGGCAAACTTAGCAAGACCCTGCCTCAAAACACAGAGAGAGGCAGGGATGTGGGTCAGTGGTAGAGAGCTTGCCTAGCACACACAGGACAACGATGATGACGACAATAACAACAACAGTAATAATAATACTACCATCAGGAGTGGGGCCTGACCTCCAGCAGGTCTGCTGTGAGCGGCAGGAGGGCGGGCCCAGTGGCCAGCTGCTCGGGCAGACTGCGGCCTGGACAGACAAGGCTACCACGGGAGAACGGTGATGCAGACACCGGAAGGGGACAGAGAAAGAACGGGGTGTGTGGAGGCATCTCAAGCTGCCAGGGCCGTAGAGCAGTTCTGATGTGTGCAGCTCTGAGAAATTAGCTCAAAACACAAAGCGAGGCAAACAAGCCACGTCACCTTTACGGCGAGGCAGCGAGGTTAAAATAGTTGTTGATGAACCACTGAATTCACGTCTTTCATGTCACGTGCTTGGGTTTCAGGGGTTCGCTTGCCACAAAAGGGACAAAGGGGGCGCCTCAGACAGCAGCTTTGGGACCCCGCCCCACCTCCGCGAGGTGTCCTCTCCGTGACGGGCGTGTCCGGGAGACCTCCTGTCATGTTTGGTTTTTTGTTGTTGCTGTTGTTTTTCTGGAACCGGAAATCAAACTCACAACCTTGTGCTTGCCAGGCAGGCGCTGTGCCGCTGAGCTAAATCCCCGGCCCCCCGACCTCCTGTCATGTGACCCCCAGGTCTCACTGGTGGCACTTGCCTGTCTGACAACCCCAAGCCTGAAGCCTGCATCCCGGGTGGGGCTCAGGCTTCCTGACCTTCAGAAGTAGCCAGGCAACTCCAGGTGTGGCTTTGGGGACAGCTGCGTCCCCAGGGGCGACCTCTCTGGTGGCCCAGGTCAGCCCAGGGAGGGACACAGGGGGACAGACAGGAGGCCGAGTCGACCTGAACCTCCGTCCCCAGCACACGAGCCCTCACGCCAAGGGGAATCACGAAAAGGACCCACCTGCTCTGGGGCGTGGGGCTGGATCTGAATGGCCGTGCCTTGCACGTGGACGAAGGACCAGCGGATCTGGATGTCCTCCTTCTTCTCCTTCATGTGGAACTCCAGCTAGTGCAAAGGGAACAGTCAGTGGACAGCTGCTGGTCTGCCAGCATCCCAGAGAGCCCATGTTGCAGCAGGTGTGCACACAGGCGGTGTGTGTGTGTGTGTGTGTGTGTGCGCGCGCGCGCGCTCTGTGTGAATTTTCATTTATTTATCTGCTTCGACAATTGCTCAACTTAACCTCAGCCTACTGTGTGCTTTCAGATCGGGCAGGAAGACCTCACAGCCCTCCACGCCTCCACGCCTCCACGCCCCAGCCCCTTCCCTGGCCTCAGTGCTGGGGATGAGGGGCCCTTAAACTCTGCGGTCTCTTTGCAGGAAGCAACTGGCAGTGGCCTACATTTGTCTTTGCACTGTGTCGCCGAGGCACGGCAGAGAGGACTGGGGAGGAGACGCAGGGTGCCCACCCCGGCCCCGGACTGCAGGCCCCGTGCAAGGCACCCGTCCCGTCCCAGGTCCCCAGCACTGGTCAGCCTCAGCCACCCTCATCTGCGCCAGGCAGGACACGCGCCTGGGGCGGCCACGCCCCTCCTTGGAGCCTGTGCGTGGCGCATGTGGCACAGGGGCCTTGGCAGGAGGTGAGGCTAGGACCCGAGCAGAGGGCAGAGCTGCCCGGTTTCTTAGGGGACCCAGAGGAATCCCAGGAGCCCTAAACGTGGAGGAGGAGCCGGGAGCACGGCCAGTGAGGCAGGGCTGGAGGACTGGGCTCAGCACGGGGCCCAGGGCCAGGGACATGGGTGCCACAGGTGTCAGCCCAGGAGCGATTCCACCGGCACCCTCAGGACCTGCTGCCCAGCCTCTTGGGAGGGGGCGCTGGTCTGAACATCTGATTCCTGGCGGGACATCACCTTGCAGAACACGGACGGACAAACAGACGAAGCCTGAGCCGCCCCAGCTAAGCGCCGGTAACCCGGTCTCGCTGCTCAGCCAGACGCTCCCTCCAAGCCACACCGCCGCTCTGCCCGTCTCCACCCCAACCCGGGGAGGGAAAGAGTGCGGACTCAGGACCCCGCTCTCCTACACGCAGCGGGGACGCCGCTCCGCAAGCCAGACCTCTGCGGTCGCGGCGGATAAAGTGTACTTGAATTTCAGCGCTGTGGGGAAGCAAGTCACACACCCACGGGCAGGCAGCGCAGGGGGCAGAGTCTGACTAGCTGCCCACCTGCGCCCTTGGCCGGCGGCACATCAGAGAAGCACCACCTTCTGCCCATGGCATTAATGATTCGCCCAGCCTGGGGGGGCGTGGTGGCACAGGGCAATAATCTCAGCACTCAGAGGGCAGAGGCAGGAGGATCGCTGAGTTCAAGACACAGAGAGAGCCTGTCTCAAAAAATAAATAGTAAGTCGTGCACCCATCTGTAGCAGCTGCCCCCGCGTAGGAGGTGAGCGAGGGCTGGGGTCACGCGCCTGTGTGCCAAGAGCCAAGATGTGGCTGCAGGGGAGGCCGGCGGGGACTCCCACAGAAAGACCGGGCCCGCAGGGGAGGCCGGCGGGGACTCCCACAGAAAGACCGGTCCCACAGGGACAGCGCTTCCACGAGCTCTCTCGGTTTATTCAGTCCCCAGACACGCAGCAAACGCGTCCTTGGCTTTGAAGGTTATTTTCTAACCACCCTGCCCAAAAACTGTGGGGTGCAGGACGTGTCCTGAGGCCGACTCCTCAGTGTGTCTCCAAGAGGGGTGTTCTGGCGCGGCGTTGGGGAGCTGGGGTCAGGGCAAGGGTTTCAGGAAAAAGCCACTTAGGGTCCGGGAAGCCTTGAGGCAAATGGTTATTTAAAATCCCGTCTTTCTAAGCAAAGCAGACAGAGCTGGTTTTGGTGCAGTTGCCTGTAAACTCAGCACTCTGGGAGGCTGAGGCAGGAGGCTCACAAGCTTAAACCCAGTGTGGGCAATTTAGTGAGACCCTGTCTCTAAATAAAAAAAAAAAAAAGGGTTGGGGAAGTAACTCAGTATGAAACCTTAGATTCAATTCCAAAAAAAGAAAGGAATCCTACCCTCCTGGGGGGCTGGGGCTCCGTGTGACTCCGTCGCCCTTGATCTTAGTGGCCGGGGACAAGGACAGAGGCGGTGGATGTGAGGGTGAATCAGCAGTGACCTCTGAGACAGGATCAGAAATTCCCAAATTTTCAGCACCCGCCGAACGGCCACTCCCGTGAGCATTTTGCTTACAGTGAGAACCGTGGCTACCCGAGGCTGCGGGCCTTTAGCAGTCGCCCTTGTTACATGTAACATACGAGGCTCATCACTGTCACAGACTCATCATCAGGAAAATAACAGCAATTCTAATTTTTTAACTGAGAAGAAAAACAAAGATGCTGAGCACGGTGGCACATGTCTATAATCCCAGTACTTGGGAGGCTGAGGCAGGAGGAATGCCACATTTTCGAGGCCAGCTTGGGCTACACAGTGAGACCTTGTCTCAAAAACAAAAACAAAAACAAACACAAACACAAAGCCCCAGAAACAAAAGCAAACAATGTGGAAGCTTAGGGTCTGAAACCTCTGCCACCTGTGGTAATTAATGAAGACGCAGGTGTCCTGCGCGTGCCCTGCGCTGGTGAGGGTGCTGTCCCCCGACTTGCTGAGCCCCCCGGTCTTACCTGTAGGTGCACGGGGGACAGCCGCACGTCACACAGCTGCCGCCCCGCGTCCCCCGCAGAGGCCGGCCCCACGCTGACCAGGAACTGCAGGGCGTCCCCCGCCACGTGACAGGTCACCACCTGGGGAGGGGAGGGCAGGGTGACAGGTGAGACGACAAGGGTCCAGACAGCGCCTGCCACAACGCCTGGCCCCCGCGGGGAGACGTCGGGCGCCAGGCCAGCAAGGACGGATCCACAGGAGCCGGCTTGGGGAATCCTGGCTCTTCCTTATGTGGCCAGGTAGCACCGGACACCAGGATGCCGAGTCCCTGCTTCCTGGGGGCTGCCGGGCTCCGGCCCGTCCTGCCCAGACAGAGCTGTCCCGCTCTCCCCACGCGCACGTTCGTCCCCGCGCTGCTTCCCTGTGCCCCCCGCCTCGGCTGCTTTTAAACATTTCCACGTTCACATTCGCACACAGCAAGCCCCGCGGGCCTCAGTGAGAACACGAGCCACGGATGTCACACGTGGAAAACACTGTTCGGTTTACTCAGAACACAAGACACTGTTTCTGCCCAGGGAACTCAAACAGGTCGTTAGTTTTCGAAATAGTGCGAATAATGCAAATCATGAAACACTACACGTTTAAAAATTGCACAGCCATAATGGAATAGAATTATAAGTTGAGCCCACTTATAAAATGAGCTTATTTTATTTGTTTTTTTGTTTTGTTTTGTTTTGTTCATTTTGGTTTTTTGTTTTGTTTTGTTTTTTTGAGACAGAGTCTCGCTATGTAGCCCAGGCTGCCCTCAAACTCACGATCCCAAGTGCTGGGATCATAGGTGTACACCATCACGCCTGGCTAGTTTTTTTTGTTTTCTTTTTCTTTTTTTTTTTTTTTTTTTTGGTCTTTTTGAGACAGGGTCTTGCCATGCAGTTCAGGTTATCCTTAAACTCACTTTGTATCCCAGGCTGGTCTCGAACTCCCAAGGATCTTCCTGCCTCAGCCTCCCAAGAGGGCTGGGATTACAGGTGTGCGCCACCATCCCGGCCTTTGGCTAGCTTTTTATTGTGTATTTTATTTTGGCTAGGTGTGGTGGCACACGCCTGTAATTCCAGCACTCAGAAGACTGAGGCAGGAGGATCGTCATGAGTTCGAGGCCAGCCTGGGCTACAGTAGTGAGTCTGAGGCCAGCCTGAACTGCACAAACAAGTCCCGTGTGGAAACCACAGAAACAAAAACAAACCATTGATTACATCCAACAGCTACATCTGGAATAAACCCACTCCAACCCTCGCAGAGCGCTTTAGAGCACGGGTTTTTGTAGCAGAGAGCTGTAGCCCCTACCACAGAATGGCTCCTCAGGAGGGCTCCTCTGCGGCCCACAGGACCCGCTGGGCACAGGGAGCTCGGCAGGGGCCAATGCGTCTGTGCCAAGCCTAGCGCTGAGAAGGCCGGGGCAACACGGGAAGGGCGGACGGCAGTTTCCCGAGGGGACCGCCGGCCCATCGAGGGCGCTCACTCAGGAGGGGAGATTCTTGAATTCTCTGGTGGAGCCATCAGAATCTAGAACGCCAAGCGGGAAGGAAGATTACCAAAATAACCCTCGGCCGGCTGCTACCGCGCAGCGTTCAGGGCAAGGCGGCCCCTGCCCTGCCGTCCCGGGCTCCCACGGCCGCACATGCCCCCGCCGGCTCCGGCTGGGCCCCTGCCCTCTCCAGTTCCGCCCAGCGGCCGTCAGCCACGCAGATCTGGGAGAGACATCCGCCTGCTCGTCCCCGTCCCTGGGGAAAGCGCACATCTCCCGTCCTCCCCTGCGCCCCGCTCAGGAGACTGGTGGATGGGACTCAGCATGGCAGTCCAGAGGACCGGGGCCAAGCAATGTTTGGATAAGAAATGTCGTGTGTTCATGTTAAAAATAAACGCTTCATGAACGGTCCTCTCGGGAGCCACATGAGCCACTCAGCTAGGACATGACACGACACGACACGTAGGAGATTCACGTCTCCACTGCCCGGGCCTTTCGCTGCTTAAAAGCAAAACAACACAACAAGCCAGGACGCCATGTGCCTCTGTTAATTCTCTGGAAACTTCTACCCTGTGCTACTCAGAAAATGACTAAGAAGGCCGGAGTTGTTGGCTCATAATCTCAGCACTCCAGGAGGCTGAGACAGGAGGATCACAAGTTGAAGCCCCACCTGGGCAATTTACTAAGATCCTGTCTCAAAAACTGTAGGGCTGGGGATATAGCTCAGTGGCATAAGTGCTTGCCTGGCAAGTGCAGGGTTGTGAGTTTGATACCCAGTACCGCAAAAAAAAAAAGTATATAAGGTCAGGCTCAGCATTAGGTGGGCTGACTCTGCCATCCACAGTTATAGGAGCTGGGGATTTAGCTCAGTAGCACAGCGCCTGCCTGGCAAGCATAAGGTCATGAGTTCAATTTCCGGTACTGGAAAACAAAACAAAACGTAACTGAAAAAGGGCTTGGGATGTATCGGAGTGGAAAAGCCCCTGGTGTGTGTACCACACAATGCGCCCCAAAAGAATTTTACTAAGAAAAGACAACTTTCTTAGTGTTTTCATTCCAGCAAGAAATTTTGCTCTTCCTTCCTATCTGGCCCTAAAGAAAGCCTCCCCGGCCAGGCATGATGGTACACACCTGTGGTCCCAGCACTTGGGAGGCTGAGGCAGGAGGATGGCTGTGAGTCTGAGGCCAGCCTGGGCTACAGATGGAGTTTTGGGCCAGCCTGAACTGCACAGTGAGACCCTGTCTCAAAAGAAGAACAAAAAAGCCTCCCCAGAGCGGCGTTCCTGGACATGCAGAGGCCGAGCGCTTGGCTAGCAGCAAGTGCATAACACGTCCACAGCAAGTGCAGCTGCTGCAGGTGGAACCTGCGGCACAAGCTCCTCGGCTCCGATCAGCCGCGCCACCCCGACCGGTCTCAGCCACAAAGTCCTTTCCTTCCCACCGCAATCAAGCCAGCCACACCCTGGCCTCGTGGCCACCCCTCCCCTCGGTGCCCTCTGGAAAACTCCTAGGGAAAAGCCTGAGTGGGGGACACTCTCACTGCCCCCGGCCGGGCCCTCCGCCCAGCAGCACGGTGCCCAGCTGTCACCAGCACGGTGGACCCGACCGGGCCAAGGGAGGCTGCACCAGCAAGTTCTCTTCTTCGGCGTACTGTGTTACCCATGGTGAGGGTGCGGACTACATCTCCCCCAGCCACACAAACGGGGCGAGGCCTAGTGTGGGAGAGGGTCCCGGCCTTGGGCCCAAGGCGGGCAGGACCGGCACCTATCAGCTCAGAGACCTTCCAACCGGCCAGCCTCCTGCTCAGCTGGAGTACAGGCACTGACAGCCACCTCCTGCCTGCACGTGCCGACCTTGATCTTGACCTCCTCAACCCAACAGCTTCCCAAGAAGCCCTTCTTGTCAGGCGTGAGGGTACCCACTTGTCATCCTAGCACTCAGGAGGCTGAGGCAGGAGGATCTCATTGATTTAGAGGCCAACCTGGACTACATAATGAAATTGGGTCTCAAAAAATGCTGGGCAGGGTAGCACACACCTGTAATCCCTGCACTCGGGAGGCTGATGCAGGAGGATCACCATGAATTTGAGCCCCGCCTGGGGTACATAGTGAGTCCAAGTCCAGCCTAAATTATTGAGCAAGATTCTGTTTCAAAAAAGCAAACAAGAAGCTATTCTGAAGTTTCCTAGGTATGTGGAACTACTTAAACACAGCTTTTCAAAGTCCTTAATACTTAAATTTTAAGTGACTCACTGTCAAACTATTACTATGGGATTTTTGTCAATTTAAATCAAGGCAGGAGTAGTATCTGTAGGGGGCGCACCGGGCTTTTCAAGGACACGAAGGAACTTATGGACCGGAAGCAGACTCCACTAAACTGAAATCTGTCTCCCTTGCTGGAATGTGCTGTCTTGGGAAAGACCAGCCCTAGGCCCACTTCACTCTTCACTCTTGAGAGAGGGTCTCACTGTGTAGCCCAGGCTGGCCTCAAACGTGCAGTGATCCTCCTGCCTCAGCCTCCCAGTTGCTGGGATCTCAGGTTTGCACCACCACACCCGGCTTGAGATATATATATGTGTGTATGTGTGTGTGTGTGTGTGTGTGTGTGTGTGTGTATATATATATATATATATATATTTTTTTTTTTTTTCCCCAAAGCAAGCAACGCCCCCCACCTTTTTTCTTTCTTTTTTGCCTTTTTTTTTTTTGAGATAGGGTTTCGCTATGCAGTTCAGGCTGGCTTTTGAGCGCACTTTGTAGCCCAGGCTGGTCTCAAACTCATAGCAATCCTCCTGTCTCAGCCTCCTGAGTGCTGGGATTACAGGCACGCACAACCATGCCCAGCCTAAGAACCCCTTGATGATCTGCAGCATTTCAAAATCAACAGGAGCCTGGAGGTAGATTCCAGACAAACAGTCTTCACCTCTGGCTCAGTGTTTAGGGCAGTGAGCCCAGGTAGGCCGGGTACACCCCATGGGTGGAGAGAGGGAAGGGGTCATCATTGTCTAGTTTGGCAAAGGCCTTGCTCAGCTTCCGGGCCCCTCCCCAGCCTCCAGACCTGGCCTGTCAGCAGCTACTGCCTATGCAGACATTCTGCTTCCCAAACCCTTGATCCACTGTGTAGCCAGGAGCCAGAAAATTCCAGGTGAGGTGCGTCCACGTTGTGCAGCTGCCTGCCAACAAGGATGTCCCCTGATTCCTTCAGACCTCACTGTGCTCTTTCACTTTCTTTTTCATTCAGCCGCTGGCTCCCTGGGAACATTGGAGAGCTGGAAAGAGCTTAATTACTGGTATGGCCTAAGGAAGGAGGCCGGCGGTGAAAAAATGCACCTCCAAGGAAATGCACCTCTGAGAAAATGCACCTCTGAGGGTCAGGCTGTTGGACAGCTTTCACTTGAATCACACTGTGGAAGGAAAGAGCTCCAAAAGGAAGCAGCAGTGAGCCCTTGGCCCACCCCTCACCAGCTGTCTCAACTCCCCATCTACTCTCAGCTGGAGGTGTTCTCCAACACGTAGGAGTAGGACAGAAACATTATTCCTACCCTAGCACAGAGGCTCCTTGGTTTAAAAAACAAAATCCACTGGGCTAAACGTCGCCAGAACATCTGCAAAGTTA